GAGCGCGAACGTGACTCGATTCCTCGTTACGTCATTCCAAGGAATTATATCCTCTAACGAGTTTTCTTCTCTCCGTTGTCCTCTAAATGTCGACGATACTGAGAACGCTCATTTCTCACAGCGCATAATGCATGCGATGCATCGGAGATGTCAGAAATATAGTCACAGAAGTCACCGAAATAAAAGAAAATTAATGAAGCGTTTTCTTACAATTTCGCTCTGACACAAAGAAATGAATACCAAGAGACTGAAAAAACATTCTTGCTGTTTTTTTCCGCCAGCACAAAACTTTATTATCACTTACAGCGTTTGCGGAGGAGAAAATTTACAAACTGGATTTTTATACGCCACTATTATAAAAGAACCGGAGCAGAGAGCTCAGCGGTAAGTCTGAATTCCGCTCTCTGGTCGATCGCGAATAATACAGTAGCCATTGCCGGAAACAGAGCGCGCGTTCGGCAGAGAGAAGCTGAGCGCAGTAAAGAAAGATCATTTCTTCTCGACCAAAACCGAATTCGAGAGAACAAGCCGGTTTTACGTTTTACGAGCGATGCTTCTCGCGTTGAGACTCCGAGCAAGTGCCCAGAGCTCGAGCCGCCATTTTGTAGATTGCACCGGTTGTTTACCAGCACGCGAAATACGAGATACTCGTGAGACGCGCGATGCGTTAAGTTTTAATATGTGCGTTAATATGCGCTATATATGTGTAAGCGCATTAAGTTTTAACCTACATTGCGAGAAAAACAAAATGTTGTTTTATAAGTTATTTAAATAGCGCGATGTTTGTAGATAAAAGTAAAATAAAAAATAAAACATATGTAATTACGTAATTTATATATAAATAAAAAGAATTAGCAATATATTACACGCGCACGAATCTCATGTAAAAAAATTCTAACTGGGACTTTCTAAATATGCTAAAACAAAATACCAAAAAATTGTAAAAAAAAAAATGGGCGGAACCGTTAATTGTCAAACGATACGAAATTTATATCGTAGAACGTGGCAGGGTGATCTTGCAGAATGAGAAGGAAATGTCGAACGCGCGTTGTCGGCGAAGCGACTCGCGCCTCCTACCTGGCAGACCGTTCCAACGAATCCTCAATGGCGCCCGAGCGCAAACGGGGCCTTGACAATGGGGCCTTGTTGTCAGGAAGGGGGATTCCTTCAGAGAAACTTTTGTCAGGGAATTCACGTGGAACCCGGGTGAGAACCCTCGAGAGCTCCGTGGATGACTTGCGTATATCGCGAACCGCTCGGTGCTACTTGAAGAAAATTTTTTTTCTCTCTCCTTCGCTCCGAACGCACGAGGCTTTCCATCCTTTCTGCTTTCTTCGAACGCGCGTGACGATTGTGTGAATCACGTCAAAATTCCTCGCTAATGGGCCGTTTACGACGGAACACTAGCGCGATCCTCCGTGCGCCCGCCTTCCCTTTGACGGGTTTATAATCTCATTACGCGCGATAGATCATTCAGAAGTCATTGGCGGTGGGGTTTTGGAGTTTCTTTCTGAATCAACATCGTCAACTCCATAATTCCACGGCGAGGTCGGACATGACTACTTTATAATATTCGATTCTCAAGAAACAATTCTCTTTATAAGAATACAAAACGAAGCATAAATCGAAATGCGCAAAGTGCGGAGTGAAACATATTAGCCGTCTTGTGTTCTCGCACAATGCTCGGCTCGCGCGCAACACACCCTTAGAAAAAAAAATCACATATAATATAATAACTCAATATTCATTCCCGTCATAATTTATATGTACTTCAAATCGCTCCCGGTGCGATATATCGATCGTACTGAAAAAGGACCGATGAAAAGACAGGGTGTAATTTTCGCGCGTCCCCTTCCTCATAAGAAACCCTCCGATCGCCGAAATTATGTCCGTTTGTGCGTGATTCTACTCGCCAATCAAACGCAACTAGACTGCGGATATGATCGCTATAACGAGAATCGCCACCCTCTCGTGTCATTTACAGAGATACCGATTGTACGGCAAAAATTCCGAGCGTTTTTTCTCGCTCGCAATAAAGCCTTCTCTGTTATAACATAAGCATGTGTGGTGAAAAATAGTGGTAAAAGTAATCAAAGAAAATTTATTCATATTGTTTTTCGTTAGCTAAATTTCAATCTCGTTTACGCGACCAAAGACAAGACGCAAATGTTTCCAATTTGAAAAAATAGAAAAATAAGAGAAAAAAAATATATGTAAAATGTGTCCAAAAGTATATTATGAGAATTATTAAACTATTTCTCTCGAGTTGAATTTAAAAAAGTGAGCAAACTCAAGCTATTGCTCGAGTTCATCCCTTCGAAAATTTTCGCAAATCTGTTTTATTGTACGGTGGTATTTCGCGCATAAAGTTCTTTGCCGCCGAATACAAAGAGCCAGTACAGCAGTCTGTTGAGGACATTTCGATTAACCTCGCTGCAGGAGGTTTTCGACTGCTTTTTCTTCGGCATTGTAGACCTTAACGTGAAAAGCAACATTCGCGAAAACGACGACAAAACTATTAATTCTATTGTAATTATATAGAAAACGAGGATGATTGTACGCGCGCGGGGAAAACAAAAAACTGTTGCGGCAAAACAATATAAAATTTATATTATACGTGACTATCTGTATTTTAATCAAGCAATTAAAAGACGACAATATTGCTCAAAATAGCTATTTTTTTTATTGAGCAATTTATAAGCGGTACATGTTTATTAAAAAACACATTTTGTACAATTACCATGCCCCCATGGAACGGTTTAAAATAGCAATGACTAGCAATTTATAAAACTCTATAAGCATAACTAATTAATGTGTCCATTTACAAGGTCAACGTATTCGAAACCATTAATTTCATCAAATACACACTTCACTGCATTCAAACCGACTTGCTGACAGCAAGGTAACCCGCTGTCAAATTATCGAGTGAACGTAATAATTTCGTTAACGGAAACATTTCTTTCTAATTACTTCTCACGTAATATTCAAGTGTTTAAGTTTTTCAGAATCTTTTTAATATACAAAAATATCACTTGAGAATCCATTTTATTCAATCTTTTCTTTGTACTGCAAGTATATTAGGTTTATTATTTTGACGTTTGTTTGTAAAAGTGCAAATATAACATATTTTGTAACTTTGAGCTAAGCAATATATTTAAATTAAAAAAAAAAAAAAAAGATAAAATTTTAAATTCTATTTGAAAATACAAGCTGTAATAAGCATAAAAAAATATTAAATAGAAAAAACAAGCTTAAGGTTTTAAAAACATAATCAGCGGCTTTCAGATTAATTAACAGCCTTTTGACAGTCGTATGAAATCCCAAAACCGGCTGCGGCGTCTAAGTAACTTGCGAATTCAGCCAAAGAGAGACAAAGACAGCCAAGGGAATAAAGAGCAAAGCGCGCGAGGCGGAAGAAACGAGGCGGGGTGAAACGATAGAGGGAGAGAAAGAGAAAGAGAGAAAGAGAAAGAGAGAGAGAGAGAGAGAGCAAGACGACGGTCTCTCCCCCGCGCAAAAATATCCCCGTTAACGATTATCAGCTCCTCTTTCCGTCTCGCGCCTCGTTATATTGTGTCCCTGTCGCGCGCGCAAATTTAGAAACAAAAGACGGATGGAAGGCGCGTCCTGATTGGCCGACCGGTCTCTGGCTCCTCTCTCTGATTGGCCCGCGGGACCGCACCCATCCTGTAATGGCCGCTTTGTCGTTCCACGGCACTCTGTGTGTACGCGCCTGCACGCTTCAGGCAGCCTCGACAACCCCGTCACGATTCTCCAACCCTCCCTCTCCAACTCTCCCTCCTACTTGGCCCACCACCAGCCACCCGCGCCGCTCGCCGCGGCCGCCCTCGTACCTCGAATTATATCAAAATATAATCACCGGCCGCGTACAAGTTTGCTGCGCGAGGCATTTACGTGTGTACGTACGTATGCACGTGTGTGCAAGCTGTGTGCACCGGGGGAGAACATTCTCATTCACGTATGCACAGAGGTGTCCGAGTCCTGACCCGTGGGCCATTTTCTCCCACCTACGTGCCACCCTCTGCGCGCCTCCCCTCATCTACGGACGCGGATCGACAAGCGTGATAAGTTAGGTGATGGTGGGAGTATACAGGCGGCATGAAGGAACTCTTAGCTGAATCCACTTGGGATACCTCTGATGTACGATATGCACGAGCAGCGCTAATGTGCGCGCACACTGATTCTTTGAGATTCCCTCTTTCTTCTCTCTTTCTTGTTCTTTTTCTCGCCGAAACGAAACGAGGAAAACGAATTTCTCTGCGAAGTTTGGGGATTTATGTCGAGCCGAAAAACTGTAAAACTACAGTTTAAGACACATTCGTTCGATTTTGACAATGCTTCATAATGTATGGAGAACAGATTAAAACGTGAATGTGAAAAAGAAAAAAAAACGGAGAATAAAAGACGTAACAAAAAAAAGAGAACAGATAAAAAGGGGATATTGGAAGAGAATAGGACAAAAAAAAAGAGCGGAAAAAGAAAGAGAACCTTGTTCTGGTCCGCCATGCGGAAACCGATCTCAGTCTACTTTTATAGGTCCGCCGTAACTAACCGTCAGCCCTGGAAAATTCTCTCTTTTATGGTCGCGGCTTTTGGTACTACCATACTCCACCCTTGGACGATGTGAACCATTGGCTATTGCAAACCTACCCCCATGAAGCAGCCATTGCGTCGATAATCTCGAAAGTTCGCGGAAGGGAAAACGCATTCAGGTTTGGCATATTGCTATTTCATGACAATGCTAATAAAAAAAAAAAAACAATGGTTTCTATTTATATATATACCGGGAGAGAATAATTTTTAATCTTCGCATCACATCTCGATCCTGTTTGCAATATTTGCGAATTTAAATATTACTCCTGAATTTTTGCGATAAGCATATCCGTTATTTATTATTTTTTTTTTTTTAATTTTTTTCAAGACGATATATTAAACTTCGCACAGAGAGCTATACAGAAATTTCTTATTTTTTCACTGACCTGTATCCTGTCCTCGGGCAGATCGGTTCTTAAGCTCAACATCTCGCGGGCGTAGACGTCGGGATAATGGGCTTCCTTGAAGGCTGCCTCCAGCGCCTCCAGCTGCTGTGATGTGAAGATCGTCCTGGAGCAACAACCACATGAACCTAGTTATATGCCATTACAGTATGTACCTTAAATCTACCCTACTCTGGCGAGAAATATCGCGTCGAGTCGCACTTTTTGCGCCTCTGCCAACGAGATCAGAGTCCCGGACTATCATGTATATATTTAAGAAAGTTAGATTACATGTTTGCGCGCTTGATGATATTATCTAATTTTAAAATATTAAAAAAAGAAATGAATACTAGTAAAATTTTATACGTTACAAAATAAATGTTGTTATAAAATATTATGTGATAATATATAATGCACACACATACCTACGCATTAGCAGTCAACAATCTTTCTCCTAATTTTATCTTTCTCCTAAGTGGGGTCGCGAGTATATCCCCTTCATTAGCCTTCAATTAGTTGCAAACGGGTACACGCTTTGTCTACGCCGATACGGTGTGGATACGAGGGACGAGACGGATGTCAGTAACCGATGATTACTTCGTCTCTTCTTCTTTTCATAAGCAAGATGCATAACTGCGCGACGCAACGGACAGTCGATGGTAGAACGAGCGTGTCCGGGCACAAGGCGCATATGCGCGTGATACGACAGAAACCGGAGAAGCGAATTTGACGGCAAGATGTCCAATTAGTCTTGCGATTCGACAAATTGTAGGTTGCGCGGAGAACGAGCTGGCATCTGCCTTTGTGGGCCGAACGAAAGCTTCGAAATTGAAAGTCATTTCCCGAACGATCATCGGCTCGTTAAGCGGACACGCGAAAATCGTCGACAATTTTGTCTCGGTTTTGTATGCTCGGGTTATTTTTTTTATTTTTTTTAAAGATCGCCGTGTAATCGTTTCGAATTCCACCGGATTGATTTCGGATCTTCGAAATGCAATCGCGTCAAACTATCAAACGCGCTGAAATAAACGATGATTCGAGAAAGCGAAACATCAGAAAACGTTTCTTGTGTACAACGCCGTTTGTAATATTCATTAATGCAAATGTCCGAAACTTATATATGTTTCTCTAATATATTATACAAATATTATAATCGAGACGGAAACGATAGTGTTGAATTAAAAAAATTAAATGATCTATTCAAAAGCGCCATGTAATTACTATCCACAAAACATGCAATTGTATGTGTAATCGATGATCTTATCATTGTCAATTGATTCGAACAATTTGTCGAAAATAACAATATAAAAATGCGAGATAATAACACGATTTAAACAAAAATTGAAGTTTCTGTCAGAGCCTTACCTATGACGACGTTTCTTCTTCTTCTTTTTACTGAAACCCGAGAGCCCGTCTACCGTGAAGTCTTTCCCCGAGTCTATGTTGTGTCCGACACCTGTAATAACAAAAACACAGATATAAACATTTATCGTTGCGCATACATTTTTAAAACAACGTAAAGTATAAAAGTCACTTTTTCAAGCGCATTTATCATATAGCAATGTTGATATATATCTTATGTCAATTTTTTAAATATTTTGTTTTAACAGAAGGTAAAAGACAAAAATAAAATCGTAATTATAAAACACAAAACACACGCGTTGAATAAATAAAATTAATGTGTTTGCGCTACAAAAATTTGAACACAGTGAGATTAATATTTTGCTGAATTCGAAGCTCATTATCTGATAGTATTATGTGTAATTGATAATTATATGGTTCTCTCTCTCTCTCTCATACACACACACACACACACACTCTCTCTCTCTTTCTCTCTGTGTATGTGTGTTGAAGCTGCGCATGCATCACGTATCAAATTACCTATTATATTGGACTTGGCAATAATAATTCGTGTTTCTGATACCAACCTACCCAGTTCCTAAAAACGAGCGAGTTTTGCATTTCCATAATTTCTCTCTCTTACTCTCTTTCTTGTCAATTTAGTTTTCTCTGCTTTATGTTGATAAAAAAAAAAGTCAAATCAGTTTAATTAGCGTTGTATTTTTGAATTAATATTTTTGCTTTTTCGCATAAAAAACACCTATAACTGTAAGATTTAAAGTTATCTGGTTTTTTTTTATTCTCTCACACGGAAAAATGGTATCAAAAAGATGTCGCAAAGCTTTTCATAAAAAATCGAAAAAAATTAAGCATAAGATGCATATATTTATCCGCTACGTTCGTATTTTTTTTTGCGACAATTTTTAGAAAAGCCTCTGATCTTTGTAAAATTGTTCTGGAACAACCCTTCTACGCATAAACGGCAATTTTTTTCAGTGCAGCGAATTGGCACGCGGTGGCGGCGCTGAATCCCCATAAAGAGCTCGTTTGGCTGCGAGCCGAAAATAATTATCAATTGTAAATTAATGTCGAATTAACGAGCGAAAAGCAGCCTCGAGCGCTGCCGTATATACGGCACAATGAAGCTCTTCCCTAAGGGTAACTCTCGTTACTACTGTTCACGCTGCTACTATGTCGGTGGCTAATTAACTAGTAATTAAGAGCTTAATTCCAATTATGCGTGTCCCTCGACTAATTGGAGTCTGAAACGTTCGCTGACGTCATCATTAGTACGTGGGGAAACTAGCAGCTTTCCTCAGTTTAACTGACGTACCGATAACAGTTTTACGTTGATGCTATTCTCCGCGCAGTTATACATTCTCGTTTCCAGTCTTTAGGCGCGCGTAAAGATCTGAATGTGACGGTGCACGAGAACTCTAAAGCGTGGCGAGTAAACAACATAAATACATTGTAAGGAACACGATACAAAGTTTATTTCACAGTTGTAATATCTTCTATTTTTTTTTTTTATGGTACTTTTGTCAAAAACCTTCTTTCTTCATTCAAATGTAAATTTCCCACGCACGCGTATCATCGGAATCGTCGCAAAAAAAAAAATTCCGACAGCGTATGCATTTTATTTTTAATGAGTAACTCGCTTTCTCTCGGGCGCGCTACGTAAATATAACAAGTAGCGCAAACGTGTGTTTGTTGAAGCTCGCGAGTTATATCTCCAATGCGAGCAAATTGCATCGCGAGAAGTGTGTTCTGACGAGTATTGACTACACTAACGATTTTGTGCTTCCTTATTATTGTGGTTAAAGAACACAAAAGTTACGTTTTTTTTTTTTTTTTTTTTTTTTTTATTATAAGTTATCACGGTCGAGAACGCTTACTGGGCGCATGCGGCCAAAGTGTATTTGTATGTGCGGAATGGAGAAATGGCGGCCGAGGCGAGGGAAGGAAAAATAAATATTTCAAGCTCGGAGTGCGGTGACGCTTACAAGTCCGCACGACGCATTGTTTTCAGTGCTGTAAAGAGGCCTCTTTACGCCCCCGGTTTCACGTTGCCTTCTTGTTCTGGGTGTTTAAGTGCGCTCATTTACCTCAAGGCGTCGAATCAATCGTCCTGCTTGCGCCAGAAACGTACAACCGTCCCGCAAAAATAACTATTTTGTACCCAAGGTACAAAAAATCTCGCGCGTCTTTAGTAAAGAGAGCGTAATTCTAATTAAAGTGTCTTTGTGTCGCATTAAAAAAAAAATAAAAAAAGAAATTAAAAAAAATCACACTAATATAAAAAATAAGATTTGTATGTCGTAAAGTGCGAGTTAAAAGAATTCAATTATAATCAACCGCCAGATAATAAATCCGTGAGCGATTATTTCAGTGAAATTTTCGAGCGCGCGAGGGAGAGATCCATAAATATCGTATTTCATTTCCGAGTTGTTTTCGTTACCATGGCGAGTGTTCGACGACGTGAAAGTGATCGATATCGCGGGCACAAGGAAACGGCGCGTAGTCGTCTGAGGAGGAGAGACCGTAACCGAATCGATTAATCAAATCTAGTTAGCTATTAGACAAGTGGCGCAAGTGCATCGACGTGTGTGCGCGCCGATACGCAAAGCACTAGCCGGACAGTCTAATTCGCTCTGGACCTAATCCCGTCGTCGTGCGATGCTCTCGACGCGCGTCGCGCGATCGCTCCTACCAGAATCTCCTCCCCGTAGAGAGCGCGAGCTCTCGAAAAATAATTACTTGTTCGGCTAATCCCTTGATAACGTTAATTCGTCAAGTTCTAAGAAGCTTTGATTTTCGCCGCTTACTCACGAGCGTCGTTAACTTAACCACAAATTGTTTTTAATTTACATTGTAATAAACCACAAAAACATACATTAAAATTTTAAATATATTCTCCGTCACGGTTTCTCGTGGAGAGTTTATAGATATTAGATGTCACACACATTCCCCGTGGAAGCCGAAGAGCAGAGCGCTCGAAAGAGCGTCTCGCGCGTTAAAACAGCGGTAGCTTCCTCGCTAAGTGTATTCACGCTACGCGCGCTCCACGTTCAGAGAGAGAGACCCCGCGATGGTTGTACGTGGGTGCGACGATCGGGACGCGCGCGAAGGGGAGAATATATATACGTGCGTGTGTACGCGCGCGGGTAAGTTCCGCGGAGAGGGTTGCTGGCGGTGGTGTGACGCGGTGGGTTTACGCTCCGTCCGCGCGTGATAGTGTGCGTCAGCGGCGGCTGCGGGATGGTTGCCGTCGGTGGTTGCGTGTGTGTTGGTGGCAAGCCGGTTACCAGGCAACCGGCGATAAGGAGCGTGGATGGCCAATGGCGGCCCTCAAAATACCCCTTCGTCTAACACGGCTTGTTTCCCGTGCTAAAGAGCGAGACAGAGGCAGGCTTTCGCTTTAGTAGCTGTTAAGGCTTTAAGCCTTTGCTCACGTCGGACCCGTTCGTTCCAAGACCCGGTCTCGGAGAGAGGAAGAAAATATATAGAAAGGGAAAGAGAGAAAGAGAGCGCCCGACTCTCTCTCCTACTGTGTGTATGCGTGCGTCTGTGTATGTGTGTGTGGCCTTCCGGATAATTGATATTCTAATCCGATGATTTGCGCGCCGCTGATGATTGTATTTCTTATCCAGAGGCGAAGCTGGGAAGAGTGTGTATGTTCTTCGATGCTTCAGCAGATGTTGAGCATCTCGAGAAAGAGCAAAGAGATCCGCGTCTATATACTGAGAGAGCAATTAACGCGAGATTTTAAACACGACTTTATAAAATGATGTTACAGCCCGACTGAATGAAAACAAATGTCGGACAGTTTCAGTGATCATAGAGATTGCGCTTTGCTATTTTCCGCTTCGAAGCGTAAACGATTGCTTTTTTGTGATGCGCTATTCACTTACGCATCTGTTATCAACTTTAAACATCGCGCGTCACAGTTTTGGCCGTTCGGACATTCTACCGTGGACGGAGATCGACATTTCGAGAAAACAAAAATGGAAAAAAAAAAGAGAGAGAGAGAGAGGATACGAGTTTACATCCAGCAAATGGAAACGCGTGAAGTGTTACGAGCGAGGGAAGGCGGCACGTCGTCATGTCGTCACACAGCAGACCGTGTGCATGATGGTCCCACGGGGGTGGTAGTAGGACCAAGGTAGCGCGTAGCACACCCTTGGGACGTCTTCTGCTATCACTTGTCCGCATTAAACCCGGGTACTAATCCCGAAATTTAATTTGGAAATCTTTTCAGACCGACTCGCCGCGCCGTTCGCGGTGTGTACGCGCAGGCGAAGACATTTTAAACTGGGAATTACCCGGTCTTTTGTACGTTGTAATTGAAAATTCGTTTTTGCCCTTCCCATTTCCCCGCCCTCTCCCTCTCCCTCTCTCTCTCTCTCGCTCTCATAGAAAACGGAAAGTAGGGATAAATGGCCTTTTGTGGATTCACGTGAAAATTGCCTCGCCGTAAGACGAATGAGTCAACCTATAAACATTCTCATTTTCTCCTTTCGCTATTTTGTGTCAATCAAAATTTCGCGCTATTTCCTACAAGAGGTGTTTGATAAACGGGATTAACGAGAGATTCAATTAGCTAATAATTACAAGATTTAATTGGGTTGGAGAAAATCGCGATGACTTATTTGAATGACATAAAACAATCGTAACGTTAATATATAATATTTGCGCCTAGAATGTCCACTGAGGATAACTCAAATCAATTAAGTCGAAACGTCTGGATATTAATCAAATTGAATAATTTTGCACAACACCCTGCAACCGGTTCGAAAGGTCCTGTTCACACATACCATTTTGAAATTTATCACGAGCCCGAGGACACCTCAACACAATAGTTAATATATAAATTATAAAAATTTATGTAAAATGCATTTTTTTTTTCAAAGATTTGTAACACACAAAACGTGTGTTTATATGTTTGTAAATTTTTTAAGTCATATATATATATGAGCCGTTTGCCGACAAATTCCACTGCACTCTAACAGCTCTTGTCCCAACCAAATCGCATTATTCGTCAATTCCTCACGCTGTCGCTGACTTTAGTCACGCATCACTGTTCATCCCTTCACTTCCCTTTTTTTTTATGTAAGA